AAGAAAGATTAAAAACAGAAAGAGAACACGAAATAGAATTAGTGAAGATTCGAGCAACTCAAAATGAAGGAAGTAGAAGTCCGACACCTTCAATCCAAAACACAGGACGAGAAACCGAAATTTCGCTCGACAAGCTGATCAAAGGAGTAGAAATACTGACTATACCAGTACCGAAAAGAGCAGAAGCATTGAATATATTTTTCGATTCTATCGAAAGAGTATTTAAGCACAAGAAGTTTCCTGAAGAATACAAATCGGAAATATTATTGAAATTAATTGGAGAAAAAAGCTTCAAATGTTCTTGTTTATATAAAGGAGGAAGATCTGCAAAATTACAAAAAAGTGAAAATTTATTCTGAAGGAATACCAAGCTACTCTGCAAACCTGTTTAGAAAACTTCAGAACTAAACGTTATTCCGGCGAAACGCATATCTAGTTCGCTTCAAGACTAACAGCTACATGAGACTATTACTGCAAGTCAAGAGAAGTAAATGATTTCGAAACACTCAAGGAGTTAATTATTTCGGATAAATTATTCCAAGCTTTAGATGAAGTAACAGCTGCACACGTTGCAATATGCCAAGGAAATAAATGGTTGAAGCCGCAAGAATTAGCTAAAGAATGGGATATTTATTTCGCGGCTAAAGGAAAATCTTTCGATGAAGTCCGAAATGGAATTAAGCGATCACCGAGATTCCTGGATACAACATGTACACAAGATAAATATATTCTGCCACACATGAGAAGAGAATATTCAAAACAAGAAGGATTTCACATGAGAAGAAAAGAATGTTATATTTGTGAAAACTATCAACACTTCGCAAGAGATTGCCCAAACAAAAGAAGAAAGAACAAAAGTGCAGTAAATAGGAAGGGAAAGGATGATCCCAAAACTCAAAAAAGTTCAAACAGAACATCAAAAGAAAAAGCCATTTTAGCTAAAGTAGACTCATCCCATCTACAATCCGAATTCGTAGAATGCATCGTTCAACCACTGTAAAAATAGATGTTTTTATTAACTCTGAGAAAATCGAAGCCATCGTAGACTCTGGAATACAGATAACGATCGTACATTCATCGCTCATTCCAAATTTAGACGAGAGAGAAAGAATTAAAATATGGCTAACACCTGCTTCCTGCTTTCGGACAACCGATTGAAGCAAAAGTTTGCTGTGGACCTATTTACCATAAAGACCATGAAAGCAATGTATTTAATTTTGTGGATACATTAATTGCAGTGACTGATAAGCTAAATGTGCCTTGCCTAATAACACCAGAAATACACAAACTGTTGATTTATCCTGTGGCAAAACAATCAAGTGCAGAAAGAAATAATTACAGAAGCGAAAACTTACAAACTTTATTCGCCAAACAAAACAAAGTTTATTCACCAATGCATAGTCAAAGGACAGCATCGAGCCCCCTCCTCCCGCTAATGCTTTTAGGGGAGAAAAACGAAGGAGAGAAGGCGAGTGCTTACGTAAACACAGACTTGTCGTCTGCTGAACACCTACGCGAAGAGCAAGCTAACTGTCCCTCGCTGAGAGAAGCATGGAAGCTAGCTGTAGAAAAGAAAGGAAATTATTTATTTATTGATCATCTGTTACATCACCAAGAAAAATATTAAGACAGACTGTTTTTCAGTTAGTGCTTCCGCTTAGTAGAAGAGCACAAGTGTTGGAATTAGCACATAGTTCCATTTTCCGTGCCCATCTTGGAATAAGGAAAAAAAAAGAGTGAATACAATATTAATTTTTTTGGCCTGGATTAGCACAAGATGTCGAAACCTTTTGTAAAACGTGCAAAGATTGTCAGTTGAAGAGTCCAGAAAGCGATCGGACAAGATTCCCATCACCCCAGTCAGAAGGCCAGGATTACATTTTGAAGCAGTTAACATCGACATTAGGACCTATTGAACCTCCTTCTGCTAAGAAACATAAATACATGTTATGCCTGGTAGATCAACATTCCCGATGGCCAGAAGCCATTCCACTGAGAAGCTTGACAGCAAAAGATTTTGGAGATTTTCATGAGAACAGGAATCCTTAATACAATAGCTAGTGATAACGGAAGTAACTTTGTTTCAAAATTAACTAAACAATTCCAGAAAAGACTAGGTTCTCACCCTAGGTTTTCGCAATCAAGAAGCTGGAAACGCCGAAAATGAAAAGAGATCTTAAAAATCTGTTAGGATTATGTAATTATTATTGCGATTATATCCCAGGGTAGGCAGAAATCGCCTACCCAGTCACAGAATTCACGAAAAATAAACAACCAAAATACTCGAATGGACAGAAATTCATGAGTCAACATTTCAACAACTGAAGGAACGATTAGCAATGTCAACGGAGTTGATCACCCCAACATTGCAAGATCCATTTGTCATTCATTCTGATGCATCCCAGATTGGAATAGGTGCATGTTTATCACAGCAAAGGGGAGAGAAACAATTTCCCATGTGTTACGCGAGCAAGAAATTATCGAAACCTCAACAAAGCTTGTCGACTAAAGAGCATGAAGCTTATGTTATAGTATAAGCATTGAAGATGTTCGAACCTTGGATTTTTTCTTTTTTTAATAATTTTACAATTTTGTGCAAATATGATGTTTATGTAATTTGAAATAGATAAAAAAATTATTGGATAACAAATATTCGAGGTAAGTGGTAAATTTAGATATTTGGTTGATCTTTACAATATGGTAACTGGTAGTTTGGCGACATTTTGGAGGCGATAAAGGTTACTACCTGGGACTTTGGTAATAATGTGAGCAGTACTCAGTTCCGATTACGCATTATTTTGTGTGAGGGAAATGAGAGATCATGGGATATGTCATGTGATATTAATGGACGAATTACGGTTCTTTAATCGGAAAAGGGGGGAAATCGGGAAAAATCTGGAAATTTTGTATTTGGTTTATTCTGTGTTGTGTGAAACAGTGTTCGTGAATTTTTGGATCCCATGGCCGTAACTAAAGAAAAGTTTATCGGACACGTAATCAAGATTCTGAAGAAGATTAGGTAAGTTAGTATTTTAATTATTTGAGGATATTATTTTTATGCATTGTTCTAAATGTAAGGTGGAAGTAAAGGAATTTGGTATTATTGGGAAAATTGTTATTAGCAATGATTTAGTTTAAAGTAATTAGGATTGTAAGGTAATTTTTATTAATTTAATGTATGTGCTCATTTATATTTTAAGTAGTGTTTTTGAATTTAATTATATTTTAATTAAATGATAGTTATTTTGTGAATTTTATGTTTGTAGGAATTTGGTATACGTTTAAGTTGAAGTAAACGTGCATGGAAATAATTTAAATATTTGATACTAAGTATTTGTAATGCTTGCGGTATGAATTCGTTGGTGACGTGTATAATGTAATAGATGATTTAGAGGTAAAAGTTTTTGGATATTTTATTTATTTTACATGTGGAAATGTTCATATTTGGAAAGGGTAAATACTTTTTCGCGATCAGGTAATTTCATATATGTTCTTTTTACCGGGTTTAAAGATTGAGAAAATTGTCATGTATTTTCGTGAAATTTTTCTAATTTATGAGAAAAAAGCAGTGTACATGGATATAGTGAAGAGTGTGCGCAATGCCATTTTTGTGCAATTCTGGGATGTTTTTTTAAGTAAAATAAGTCGGCGTGTACATGGTTTATGTGTATGTGTTATTTTGAAAAACGCGTAAGGAGTATGGTATTGTGCAGTTTTTCCCAATTTTGCAGTGAATATTTGTCATGATTAAGCAGTTTTGTTAAATAAAATTTCTAGCATAAGTGTAATTCGGCTAGTAGATTGTTGGAAGAAGTGTTCAGTAGATAAAAAGAAAAGAAACATGTCTTTACTTCGTGAAGACAAAATGGCGGCGGGAAAAAAAAATAGAGGGTTGCTGTAGGAGAGTTGGTCGCCAAATTTTCGCCAAAAAAACGCCAAGTTACCATAATGTAAAGATCAACCAGATATTTTTCTCCCAAGGATATAAATCATGTTTCAGCATCATTAATTAAAGAGAATGTTAAGAATAGAATTATATATTTATTTAAGTAACCTGAATAGAGAAATTTTGATAATGTTTTATTGATAATTTTCATAAGTAAGAAGCTAAATAATTTTTTACTGTCATCATTGGAATAATACTGGGCTATATTTTAACATGTGTATAAAAGAAAAAATATCAACTTGGTTTCTTTGTGTTAAAAAATTGAGAAAGTGTTACAATAATAATAATATTTGGAACCAGTGGGGTGAAGTTAAGAAAAATGGGTTACCTATGTTTATATATGTTTCTGTAGTAAATTGATATGTAATTGTAGGTATAGCATTGCAAATGTCTGTAGTAGTTGAGATTTGAATATTAGTGCAGAATGTTTAAATTTATATGTAGTTTGTTTTTCTTTTTCTCATTGATTGCAAACAGTTGCTAGATTTTAGTTTCCAGATTGATGATTGATTCGTAAACAGTATCAACAACAATTTTACGATGGGGGTGTAGTATCTGGCGACTGTTTCGTGATCAACAGTGTGTGTTTGGCACATGTAGCTCTTCTCCAAGAAGGGTTAATGTATTTTAAGAGAGTTGCATATTAGCCTCGGGAGAGTAAGGTTGTAGATTTCACTGTGCTGTAGGAGCGACGTACTGCTCTGAGTTTATTATTATGCTTTGAACCATATTTTTAATAAATGTTTGTTTCGTCTTGTTAAATGATGCCTTATTGAACCACGAAGCCATTACAAGGGGAAATCCTTCTTCTCTATACAGCAGAGGAAGTGACCTTGATTAAAACGAGTCAATGTTTGGACAGCTAGAATTTGTCGAGAATCATTTAGTTTAAAACCCGGTAATTTGGGAGAAGGTATCCATGTTCTTTGGGGGTTACATGTATTCCAGATGCTGTCTGCTAAAATTTGGTATTTAGTTTTTAATCTCTGTGATTTTTAGTAATCACATGTTACATTCATGTACTTTATCTTGCTTTCCTATCTTCCTATTCCAGATGTTTGTGCTTCTTTTATACAGTTGTGCTTATTTATCTGTGTTTTTCCCTTGAAGAAAAAATCCGTTTTGTGAGTATGGTTTTCATAATTAAAATATTTGAATATAAAATAATTCTTTTTTTTTTTAACCTTGCAACAAATTAAGAATTATTAATTACTTAAAAAACATGAAATAGTTTGTTACCTACTGATTGTAATGGAGGACATTCAGTAATGTGGGCATTTCTTTCCCTAGAAAAAATGGAAGAGAATATATTTAGTTCATGCAAAAATTTAAGTCTGAAGAAAGTTTAACATTTAGTAAGAAATAAATCTGGGAATAGATAACAAATTATAAGCTGATATAATTGTGCATATTTTCATTCATCATACCAATAAAAATGTTTATGCTTTGCAAACAACCTATATTAACCTTTCAAATGCTTAGAGAGGACTTAAATTTTAAAGCAGTTTTAAGTTGGTTATATAATTTTATATCAAGGTATGTGTATGATTATTGGATTCAACTCGGGTAAAACGTTTTGTGAAATTCAAGTGTTAAAAGTAGTTTCAGATATTTTCAAAGGCTAAAATTATAAAAGCATTGCTCAAGTTTTAAATTTTATTTTAGGCGAAAAGTTAGCAATGTCTGAGAACTATGGCATTTAATAAAGTAAATGTTTTTTGTAGATTAAAATTATATTGATTAAAAAAATTAGGAAATCAGAAACATGTTTCTTCCAGAACGTCAATTTTCCACGAAACATGTCTTAAAAATTACAGAGATGGGCATCAGTTATTTTATTAAATAACTCAGATGTATTTTCATTTCTTTACAATTAAGGGAGCAAAAATCATCAAAATAAAAAATGAAAATTAATCAACAAAAAAAAAAAAAAAAAAAAAAAAAAATTTTTTTACCTATTCTTGGACGATTTTGCTGCTCATTTTTATCCCTCAAGTTTCAAACATGAAAATACTGATTTATTCTTCCCACCAGTACTGCTTCCATTTTGCAATCTTTAGTTCAAAATGTTATAAAAACTTTAAAGTATTTCTAACACACTTGATTCATCAAGATGGAGAAAAACATTTAGAGAAATTAAGAATCTGAATTTTAAATACTATGCACATACAGTAAAGAAATATGATTAATTATTAAAACTGAAATGGTAGAAATTGCTGTCTTCACTTGAAATGAGAGCGAATACATCATAAATTCGATTACATATAATACAGAAAATTTTGAGTTATGTTGGTTTTAAGCAGAGGATGATAATGATGATATTGATTTTAAATTACTGACAGACACTCCTGCAAATTCAAAGCATCGGTATCTGTCAAATAATTAAAAACAACTAGACATTCTATTCGGCATGGTAGTAAAAAGCTTGCTTTCACAGTATTTAGCCTGGGTTCAAATTGTGTGGATAAGGTGTAGATGTATGTGATTGCTTACATCCTCTTCTTTTGGGTGTAAATTGGCTTATGCCCTGTTGTGCTTCTTGAGTGGTGAGATAATTTAAATGGGTAATGGGTTTGGTCATTTTTGACAAATACTTGAACAGGCAAGTCTCCAGCCAATGTTTTAAAAAAGTCATTACTTTTTTTTACATTTATAATTTTATTCCTGACTTGGACTGTGTCCAGCCACTGCATTAAAACAAAGTCTTAATTTTCCCCCTACAATTATAATTTAATTTGCCATATTTAAAAGGTAAATAAAATTATAGTTGTAGGAAAAAGTATCTAAATGATAAAATGGGAGGGTGAAAACTTTTAGAGCTATAAAACTTTTTATGTTAATCTTGAAACCATAATAAAAAAGGTCATTCAGTACAAGTTCTACATGAGAGTAGAACTCAAGTGGTTTCAAGCTATTCTTGAAGGAAGAGAGAGAAAATTGGAACTTATTCAGAGCATAATTATATGTTTTAAGATCTAAAGCATTCACAATACAGTATTTCTCTTTTTTTTTTTTTTTTTGCTGAAAAGTAGAATATTTAAAGAATGAAATTAAATTTTATCGATTAAAATATATAATGCGATTTTTTTTAAGAATGTTTTTTTGAAAATGTCATCATTTAGGAAATCACGTATCCTTATGATTCTGTTTTGTTAATAAAAATGTTCCCATTGTCTTGAAAAAAATCATCTTTTCAAAAATGAATCTGGATCCAAAAGGATTAGATTTCATTAAGTTAGGTTATAATTTTGAAAAATTTGTCTTTTAATCAATATTTGCATCAAAATTTATGCAAAAATGAAATATTAATCAGTGTAACAGTCTCTAGTTATGTCACTCAGCATTTGAAACTAGTTATATCATAAGACAACATTATATCAACATTAAGACAAATATATCAACATTAAATTGATATTGTTAAGTGTTTTTTTTTTTTTTTTTTTGAATGGTTACAAACTAAAAGCAATTAACTTGTAAGTACCTGCACTGGGTATGAGATACCGAAGCTGTTTAGTTTCAGTGTTTACATCAAGTTATTTTGTTCATATTGGGCTAAAATTTCTAGTAGCTGAAGTGAAGGTACATTCTTTAAAACAGGAAAGGTGAACTGTGTCTAGAAACAATTTTCTTAGAATGATTCCTTCGGGTATGTCATATCTGCACGAGTTCCTGCATTGTTTAGACTTTGTTTCTCATTTTACTTCATTGCTCAGCACAGCATGGTATCTTAGCTATGAGGATGATATCAAAGGTTGTGAAATCTTTTTAAAAACTGTTTTGGGTGAAGATGAGTCCTTTATTGAAGAAAGTAAAGAAGTTTTGGATGAAGAATATTTTAGTGGACACTATTTTTTACAGAGAATGCCACAGATACTGAAATAGAAGATGAGCCTTAAATCTGCCAAAATGAATAATTGCTTGGTTAAAAACAAAATGACTAAATGGTTTAAAAAGAAATTTGTTTCTAAAAACAGTCAGATTGAATTGTTTACAAGAATACAGTAAAAAGGGAAACCAAACAAATCCTCCAAGAACGAAAACAAAATGGATTTCGGTATTAATGAACCATTTAATAACTTGAAGAAACTTATAAAAGATGTGCATTTTATTCTAGTACAAAAAGGCAGAAAAGCCCAATTTATTTTCTAAAAATGTAGAGCATTTGTATGGAACATTGGCACACTATCTCTGAAAACTATAAACTAAAATTAAGTAGCATTAATACTTATAAAATAAAATTTTTCTTTCTTTTTTTTATTTGAAATAATATTTTATTTATGGTATTTAAATAGAGAAAAACACTCTCAGGTATGCGGTACTTGGTACGGATTCCCGTGTTTGTATTTACTGCATAAGTGTTGCCAGGTTAAAAAGTAAAGATCTAAAAACTTAACTGAAGATTTGTAACCTATATTCATATTTGTGATATTTTGTTTATTTTAGTTTAGTTAGTGTAAATAGTTTTTATATGACATATCAGATAGACACATTTAGAGACAGTAAAAATGTGAGTAAACATTGTGAAGTTTTTAAAGTCATATCTTGTTTGTCAGTTAGCTAGGTACCAGATCAAATTTTGAAGACATTTTTCATTATTAGAAGATATTGCCTTAGCTGTAAATAATGTTTTCTTAAGTCTTGTTATATGCACTCTTTTACTGTTAGCTGTGGATTTCCACCACTCTAATGGAATCACTGCTTGTAAAACTTAGCCATCAAATAATGAACTATTGCATGTTGTTGTAGGAAATGTAACCCCCTTCCCCCCAAAAAATTGTTTATAATATTTTTTTTATTTAACTGATTAAAATTATGGTTTAAATTAGTAGTTTTAACCATTGTTGACATTCTGGGCACTACTGCTTTGATCTATAAATTGCATCATGTAATGTAATTTTATTTTTAATAATTGTTGTTGCTGGTGTGTGATTAAATTAGAATGAATAATTATGATTTACCTTTTAGATAATAAAAGAAGTGTTTCTATCTTATATAATTACTCTAAACACTATGTCAGAGGAGTTGAGACTTGAACTGCTTGGGCTCGAAAGTGATACCAATGTTACAGAAATTTGGAAAATCAATAAAAAAGTAGCTTACGAAAGCTATTTGATTGGAGCTAGAGGCACTCATTTTGTAATGTGCTGTCTTTTTGCTGGAAGTAAGTTTTGTTAAAATGATTTATTTATTTTTTCTATACTGTATTTACTTTTGTATCTCCCTTTTCATTACTAATTTTTTTTTATATGAAAATTGAGAGAGAAAATTTATGCAAATAATTTAATTTCTGGAGTGTGAGAAGAATCTAACAAATGAAAAGACAAACTATTGGCAACACAGTGTTATTTACTTAAAAGAAACCTACTTTCTAATAAGAATATATAGCAATATTAACATTATATCAATATCTAATAAGATATTGAGAGTGTTATTTGATTTATGCTTACAGTATCTTGAATCTCTCATTCGTTTACTGTTGCCTGATGCAACTCTTTAGGCCTCAAATCGTTTAATGCTGCTGAAACTGCTATCTATGTCAACTGCTATAGCTTGCAATCCATCGGCATTGTCACCTTTATCATCATCTTCATCACCATTCAATCTGTCTTTCCACATATAGTGGTCTAAATAAGTATCAAGAAGATAAGATGTCCGCATTTTTGGGAAGCTCTTCATAATTTCTTCATCAATTAGAGTCTATGCATCCAAAAATCCATAAGGAAATCAATTAGTAAAGTGAAAAAAAAAGTCACTATGTGGAAAAATTAATTTCAAAGTTTATGAACGGTTGCTTCCTGGTCGCCTTGAGGAAGGGAAAATTGCATAAATTCTGGAGATAAAAGAAAAAAAAAAAAAAAAAAAAAAAAAAACCCGTAACTTTGAGCTAAAAGCCAAGTGGGAAAATGTGTAAGTTAAGTACTGCATATACAGTCAAAAGTCGTTAATTTGGACACACATAATCCGGACCTCAAAGCTACAAACTTTCTGCGCATGCATCGCGTTGGACCTTTACGGCTGCGAATATGCGTGTGCGCATGTGCATAATACGTTTATGCATGCGCGTTTAATGTATAACGGATGGTATAAGCTCAGCTAAAATGATCTAATTCAGTTAATGTTGCAGATTGCATTGTTCTTTAATCTTCGAATTGGATCCGGCTTATTATTTTTTGCAGACTGTTAGAGCAATCTTATAAAAGTAAGCTTGGAACTTTCAATTATGTCAAATAGAATTTCCAATATATATTTACTAATATGTAAAGGATCTACAAAGCAAAAGTATGTTTCGAAGTCCAACATGAAAACGTGAAAGATTACTTTTTCTAAAATAAATTAGAAAATATATTATGTGCAAATAGAATATTCGTTGAAAATGAAATAGACTTCAACCTTTGGATATAACGATGGTTTTAGATGAAATTTCTGCCTATGAAAAGAAATTGACGTATAATTAATTCTTCATGAGGGTACAGTAGACTTTAAGGTACCCCTTGTATTATGGCGAAGTTGTTATTTGATTTATCGCCAAGTTGTTGTTTCATTTATGGTAGGGTGCATGGTTCTGGGAAATTTTGAATCATGGGATGTTTTGTGAGCATTTTTGTGGTGTGTGTTGGTTTGATACTTTAGACAGTAGAATGGCTGATTGTAGTAAGATTATTTTGAAGTTTCTGTATGATTTGGAGCGAATGGGGAAAAGAGCTTTAATTGACTGGTGTGTAAATGAAGGTTTACTTAGTAGCCATTATAGGTGTCCTGTATGTAGGAAGGATATGTGTCTAGTCGAACGTAAAAACCATTTAGATGGATTTGATTGGGTTTGTAGGAAGAAAGGTTCAGATGGTCACTATGTGAAGCGTTCGATCAGAAAGAGTACCTGGTTTCAAAAAGTCATTTGAGTATGATTGATATAGTTAAAAGTCGTTAATTCGGACTCCCATAATCCGGACCTCAAAGCTACAAACTTTCTGCGCATGCGTCGCATTGACCTTTACGGCTGCGAATATGTGTGTGCGCATGTGCATAATATGTATACGCAAGCGTGTTTAATGTATAACGGATGGTATAAGCTCAGCTAAAATTATCTAATTCAGTTAATCTTGCAGATTGCGTTGTTCCTTAATCTTCGAATTGAATCCGGCTTATTATTTTTTGCAGACTGTTAGAGCAATTTTATAAAAGTAAGCTTGAACTTTTGATTATGTCAAATAGAATTTGTGATATATATTTACTAATATGTAAAGGATCTACAAAGCGAAAGTATGTTTCAAGTCCATTAAACAAAAAGTGGAATGCTTGCTGCAAAAAATGGATAAAGGCATATCCTTTGTTTATCTAACCATTCCGAAATCTGTTTATCAATTTCATGCTGCTCTGCGGCAGGGGGGGACGTCACGGCACGCAATGAATTGGAAGTTGATCTGTCAGCACTATCCTTATCTTCAGGGCAGATGTTTTTATTTTATTTGGCTTATAATTCCTTACTAAATGTAGTATTTCATCTCGATGTACTCCGTCTTTGATATGATTTAAATCAAATTCCTCGTCATTATAATTCGCTTCCGATAGCGAAGAAAGTGACAGAGGTTATTGAAAACGAAAAAATTTCGATTGACAAATTAGTCGGTATTCTCGACACAGCAAGTATAGGACTTGAACAGCGGAACTTTGTAACTGAACAAGAAATTATGTCTGTTTATAGAATTAAAGAGAAAGTATTATCACATAAAAAACGAAGCAACTTAAACAACTTACATTGAAAGAAATGTTTAATAAAGTAAACAAATAAATATTAAGCTTTTTTTTTTTTTTTTTTTTTTTTTTTTTGTAAATTTTGATACCCTTTAGATCATAATTGTTCTTTATTTCATAAATTACGGTTTCATATTTTTAATTTTATAATTTCTGCATGCCATCTTACGAGATTTAAACTGATGATCTATAATCCGGAAAAATCGATAATCCAGAATTGCCAAAGTCCCGACGAGTCTGAATTAACGACTTTTGACTGTATTAATGGCTACATGTAACCTTTTCAGCTTGCAAATTCTCCTTATTGTTTGCCTGCCAATGCCTGTATTGTTAGCTTGGTAGCATCTGACATATAGCTGGTGAAATTCTTTGCCTGCTTTTCAGAAAAAAATTCAAATGCTGTTTTATTGACAGCATCGTATATATTCTGGAAAAGGGTTTGGTATCATTTGTAGCAAAATGATTAAAGCCATGGAATCCTGATAGTTTCTCCTTTGGTTTGATTTTGAACAGAGTGTACTGTGAGTTTTCATAATTTTCCTTTTGGACAATCTAATACAGTTTAATTTCACTTGGAATGTCCATAAAAATGTCACTTACTTGAATACTTTTTTTTAATAAATCAGTTTATTAAACATTGAATTGGAAAAGAAACCTGCCTGTGTAATATTTAAAACTATTAAAAAAACATTCATAGATTAGCAGAGATTTCAAATAAACCTCTATTGATTTCAATGGTTATCAAAAGCAGGTTCCTCATCTTCAGAAGTTAATCAGTTATCAGTGATATGGGCATTCTAAGTTCTCCTATTGTGGCAATTTTAATTCACTAGATGTGGGCCCGTAGAGTGAAGATTGTATCAACTGTCAGGAAGATCATCCAATATTTTCTTGATCCTGTAATAAACGGAAAAAGGAAAGTAAAGTGGAGAATATAAAGGTCACCAAAAGCATAGTTTATGCGGAAGCTAAGTAGATAGTAGATGGTACTCAGCCGTGTCCTTATATTTCTTATACCAATGCTCCTAAGTCTTTTCAATCTATTCCAGCATTTCCTTGTGCTCAACATGAGAACCAAAAAACAAGCAGTAATAAAACAAACAAGAAAGAATTAGGGGCCAGATCCTCTGAAGCATACTGCAAAGAGAAAACAAGAGATTATACAAAATAAATAAAAATCCAGAAGTTCAAGCAACAGCTTATTTGAGAGAATGTGTTTTGATATGACAGATTTGGAGATAGATGGTTCCTTGCTTAACTAAGAAAGCTAAAGAGTAGAGTCAAAGCAAAAGCTAGAAAAGTATGCAAAGTCAGAGGATTTGTGGATATCTTATGTGTCATCAACAATGTTTTCTGCACCTAGCAAGAAAGTATGGGAAAGAGTCCAAAGAGCATTGGATGTATTATAAAAGGGTTACTCACTTTCAATTTACAGACAAATGACTAAATGATAAGCTGCAAAAAAGAAACTGCAAACACAAGCAGGGAAGCTTTTGTTAGTATGTCATGTAGCAATAGTTATCCTCCAGAATTTCTATCCTATGGGCTACAATCAGAAAATACCCAATTTCTATCTAATATTTCCAACTTAGAAGTTGTAATGATGATTTTACAGTGCTTTTGTTCAAAACTAGTCAAGACTGATGACTTCTCAAGCACTCATGGTATTAGCTAAGAGATGATAAAACACTTCTCTAAAACCTCTCTAAATCATTGGCTGCTCTTCTTATACTGTATAATAATGTTATGTGTGTATTTGTTCATTAATGGGTTGAATGTGCACAGAATCAATGATAGCTTCATGTAATTTGTTTTTTCCAAAACATTTTACACTTCTGGAATATTTCACGCAGAAGCACTCATATAGCTCTTTTTAGTATGACGGAGCACAATCAAATGATCAAACTCTAAAAATGTTGAACACAAGGCTAATGTAAAGAGCCTAAAATGTATAATCTTGCATGGTGATCTCAATACACTAAGCTAAAAACAGAAAACTGATGGTGTCTCTGCTCTTATATAGTTTTCCTTCATCTGCAAAGAAATTTCTAGTATCTTCTATAACTCAAAATTGCTGGAAGGCATACACAGTTATAGTTACATAGGGATGGATACAATTGCAGTTACACAGGGATTCAGCTAGCTACACTTATGCAGAAATCAGACCAAACTATCAGCAAATGGCCAGCAAGTTGATAATTTGTCAGCAAATTCGTAGCGAAAATGTGCAAAAATCATAGCCAACTTGTCGCTTTCTCACCAAATTGGTGAGATAGTCATTTACCTCAATGTTAAATTAACTTAACCCTATAACTCTATTTTTCTGGTTTTGCTTCTGAAGCCTTCCATTTTATGTTATACAAAAGATACTACAATTTACATATAATTCCATTAAAATGTTTTCACATATATACAAAATTTGTAACATTTGAATATGGGTTGAACAGGGTTTCCCAGATGCGTAACAAAGGGCTAGCGCAAAAGCAGGGAGAGATCGTAAGGATCCTTCCAACTATTGTACCATTTCTCTGAGCAGTTGTATATGCAAAGTTCTCAAAAAGATGGTATACTTGTGTTTAGTCCACTACTTAGAACAAAATTATCATTTGTCCCCATGTGAGAGTAATTTCCGTAATGAAAGATCAACTACAGACAATATTGTCATCCTAGAAACGGCTGCATGAAAGGTTTCCTGAAAAGCAACCACATAGTATTCATCTTTTTCAATATGGAAAAAGCATATGACAGAACATATGAGAAAGCATATGAGGTGGAGGTATAGGATACTTCTTCATTTATACAATACCAGATTACGTGGATGATTGCCAATCAGTTTAATAGTTAAATGTTATCAAATACAGACTGTTTCCTGACAAATGAGTTCATTCAAAAAGAGGGTGTTCCTCAAATATTTATTAATAGTCCCTCTTTTTAATTTAAGAATTAGCTTTATTCTTAAAGAATTTCCGTAAGCAGTTCTTGGGGTATTATATGTAGATGATTTTCAGATTAGTTGTCAAGGCTGAGACATGTTGTATCCAAAGACAACTCCAGATTTGTTTAAGCAAAATTAGTAAATGGGCCATTAGAAATATATTCAAGTTCTCGAACCAGAAGATACTACATGTGCATTTTGGTTACAAAAAAAACCTACATCCAGAATAAGATTTCTTCCTGAATGGTGCGCTGATACTGGTGGTGCCAGAGGAATAATCCTGCAATTATTTGATGAAAGGCTCAGTTTTTTGTTTCACGTACCAAGCCTGAAGAACCAAGAACGTCTTTACAAATACCTCTTGAGGAGCTGATTGATATTCTATATTGCATATTCACCGAATTCTTATGTAACAGAAAATTGAATATGGGTAAATTGTCTATGGATCTGCATGGTCTTCTGTGTTACTGAAACTTGCTCATATTCATTACCAAGCTGTGCAGATTTTCTCCAATGCATTCAGAATGTCTCTAGTGTGCAGAGTCTTTATGCTGAATGCTTTGAGCCATCTTTAAGCCGCTGTTTTAAGACATGTCTGTTGTCTCTGAATTACTACTTCAGTTTTAATTCTCAACCATTTCATGCTGATTGATCTCTTCTCTTTGATGATTGCTATCATCTTTTGTGTAACAAGCACAAGATTCATGCATTTCTCCATTTGTTTTACAGTGACACTCACTTTTGGATAGCTTTGACTGATGTGAAATTTAAAGCAGTCAAGTTGTATTGTATTCCACCTTGGACATATTTTAAAATTCTTATTTTTAATGTTTTTAGTGATTTTGTTAAGAACAGTACTTATGATATTGCATTATGACAAATTTTTGAAGAGCATAGATGCTAATACAGTAGTATGTTCCAATGTATAAAGATGTCTCAAAGACCAACAGTCAGGTTGCATTGGCATTTGTGTGTGAAGATGCTGTCAAAAGCTTTAGGTTTGCTGAGGTCTTTTCAATTTTCTTCTTAGAAGTAGTTGCCATCTGTAATGATTTGACATTTATATCTAAGCAAGAAATATATTATTTGTGCAGATTTAAAAAGTGCCCTGATGTGCCCCAAAAGTGAAAGTCTTTTATAATGACAACCCTTTAATTTGGGGGGGGGGAACAGTTAAGCTAGAACAAAATTTGAACAATTGGGATTACAACATTTTTTACTGCTTGGTACTTGAATACATAGGAATCAAGGGGAACTAATTGACTGATATTGCAGCTTAGTAGCTTGTTGACAATTCAACCAGTCTATTCCCTTTAGAAGGTCAGAAGGTCATCAAAAGCAGATTGTTAGATAAATAGTAGCAGTTATGGGAGATTCAAGTGAATAACAAACTGAAATGTGTTAAATCCAGGGTGCAAGTTTGGGAACTGAACACAAACTGTATAGAGGATTTGCTCTTGATTCACCTGCATATTGGTTACTTAAGATTAACTCATCAATATTTATCAAAAGGAGGAAATGAACCATCCATTTTGTGCTATTCTCTTTTATTCGTTGTCCATATTTTAATAATTTTTAATTCCCTTACAATACTGTTTTAGCATGAAACAAATCTTACACTAATAGACATAATTGGAGGGCAGCTATCTTTAGCTATTTAAAGGTTATCATAATGTATTATTGCATATAAATTTTAACTGAAGATTAGGCTTTTGATATGCACCCTTTGCAGACAAGTATTTGGGCACACAAAATAGTTTTAAACTTTGTTGTCAGCCTTCTATTATCACTCTCCTTTTATGTTTCAAAATGTTTTTATGTTATGTTTTTTTCACATAATTTTGTATTTTTGTTATGTCATTTAATTATATTGCTATTTTATGTCATAGCTATGTATGTATGTACACAGCACTCCCCCCCCCCAAAAAAAAGGGCTTCCGTTCTACTGGGCTGATTGGCAAAATTCACCTTGAGCTTTTCATGTCTTGAAAGCATGACTTACGATATATATTAGATTTATATATAGCATTGTTCTAACATAGTTATTTTTACACAAAATTGAACTTTTCCTGAAATAACATACCAATTTTTTTTTCCCCGCAGTTCGTTTCTACGACTCAAATTATGCCAGATTTCCAAGTTTTGTAAAAATCACATGAGTAGTTTTTAAAAAATTAGCTCTTAAATTTTTTGTTCCTCAGTGTTAATTGAATTTAATACATATTTATTAATATCTCCTTTTTTATTAAACGTATTTGATTATTCCTTTCACGTTTCAAAATTTAGATTCATTCCAAATAAAATTCGTCTTATTTTTTATGATTTATTTTTGAAATTTGTATTTTAAAAAAATATATTATAAATTTTTTTAAAAAACAATTTTGAATTATAACCTATAAAATTTTCACCATTATCTTAAAGTAGATGTATTTCTAAGCATACCTGCAAAAAATTAGAGTTTTTGTTCAAGTAGAGTTATTATTTCCTAAGATATACGGGAATTTACATACTGGCGTGTTTTGAAATTTGGTGTATTTGTTATAAGTGATAATAACTCCAAATGTAGTTTATGCACTTTGTTAAAATTATTTGAAAGTATGAACTACGACTTTTATCCCAATCATGTACAATGAAAAAATGGAAAGGAAAATAGGTTGCTATAAATTGCCAAGTGTTGCCAAGTGAATTATTCTTGGCACAAACTGACAAAAATAAGATAAATTTTTGAATTCCTGTGTAAATTTTGCGCCAAATTTTACAAAATTTAATATATATTTAGGGATAATTCGAAGCATAGAATTGAAATATGGAAAAAATTTTTTATGTCATTCTAGAAAAAGTCCAATTTCATGTCAAATTACCTATACTAGAACAAGGCTATATATAAATCTAATTTATATCCTAAGTCACGCTTTCGAGTTGTGAAAAATGCAATTTGAATTTCTTCATTTGACCCAATAGAATGGGAGATATCGAACTGTTGCCCCCTTTTTGCACAGTGTCCCTGCATGTAATGAGTGTGTGGATTCTAAGAATGTAACAGTGGGTCTTTATTTTATTTACGTCATGTATACATTGTAACCTTATGCTTGGCACATCACAATCTTTGGTTATGCACCAAAAAAAAAAAAAAAAAAAAAAAAAAAAAAAAAAAAAAAAAATTTTTTTTGATTCTTAAGTGCCTGAAGTAGAGATGGAAGAAAGTGAAAATGTGGCTGTTAAGTTGTTATAAACTGATAGTAAAGCTATGAAATTGCAATTATCAAGTATTGAACCATCTGAAAATTAATGTGATGCAGACATGGGAGAACCTGATGTACAGCTTAGGCAGAGTTATGTATACTTAAAGCTATATATACCCTGCCTGTATGCAGAGTACTTTAATTCAGTAATAGTAGTAGTATGCTGAATTCAGTAGTAGTGTTTTGAGTTCAGAGATAAGCTTGATAGTGACTGAACTGAGTTGGGAGCTGTACTTTAGTACTTTTCTGTGAAGTTGTTTTCACCAATGTAGCTTGAAGGCTGTGTTGCTGATTGTTTCAATGCATTTATCGTAGTTTTTCAATGACTGTAAATGCGTCTCTGGATCTCTTCTGTGTAATACTATGTTTTGATTCTTCATCAAGTGGATCAGTCACTCCAAATCCTAGAACAGTATTTTATTTTGATGTGTGGTTCATTTCCTTTGCTTATATTGTAAAGACATTAGATTTTTTTCGAAGCAGGAGACATGAAAAATGAGCAATGCCCTTGCTGGTAGTCGAACCACGGACCTCTCAAATACGTGCCAAGTGTACTGACCACTGCACCATCAAAGAATGCTAAGAAAGTGGAAGAAATACCTTATGTACTCCCCCTTTTAAAGGGAAACTGAGAATTAGGGGACTTATCGCCGAGATCCTGGTGGTGGAGAGTCATCATCCACCACCTTTTTTAGTTTTGCTGCCACTGTAGAGACATTAGGTTATTTCGAAGCAGGAGATGGGAAAAGTGTGCAATGCCCTTGGTGGGACTCAAACCACAGATCTCTCGCATGCAAGCCGAGTGTGCTGACTACTACACCACAAAGGCATTCTAAGAAGGCAGGAGAAATACCTTATAATATATTGAATTTATACTTTAAGGCAATCAACACGATTTTTAGAATTTTTTATGCCACATTCCAAGGCAATATAATTAGTTAGTTGTCATATGTTTATGCATTGTATCTTTGTATAGTTATATATTAAAAGAATTCATGGCAAATTTCAAAAAATTCATTTAATTATCTGTAAATTAAAGATAACAAAAAGTATATAAGTGTGAAATCAAATTGCAATGCAATTTTTTTTCCAACTGTATTTTTTATAGTAATCTGATTGCAATTTAAATATGTATTGTTTGAAATATTCTTTTTTATTTGTAGTTGCTATCCAGTTTGGCTCTAAGAAATATCACTACCCTTACACTGTTGGTTGCTTCATATTTGGATTTGTCATAGGAATTTTAGCGCTTAATAGTTCATTTATACAAGATTATACTGCCATCACTAAAATGGATCCTAGTAATTTGATGCTTATCTTTCTCCCAATTCTTATTTTCGAATCTTCTTTCTCAATGGATGCTCATATGTTCTTCAGAGCCTTACCACAATGTATTGCACTTGCTGTACCAGGGCTATGTAAGTTACTTAATATTTTAGTAAATAAGAACATATATCTTTTCATTCTATTTGGGAAAAAAATGCTTGAAAGAGGTTATTACAACTGGACTTTGTTTTCTTGAAGAATACAGTCAAAAGTCGTTAATCCGGACTCGTCGGGACTTCAGCGATTCCGGATTATCGATTTTTCCGGATTATAGATCATCAGTTTAAATCTGGTAAGATGGCATGCAGAAATTACAAAATTAAAAATATGAAACCGTAATTTATGAAATAAAGAACAATTATGATCTAAAGGTATCAAAATTTACAAAAAGAAAAAGCTTATATTTTTTGTTTACTTTATTAAACATTTCCTTCAATGTAAGTTGCTTGCTTCGTTTCATGTGATAATACTTTCTCTTTAATTCTATTAAACAGACATAATTTCTTGTTTAGTTACAAAGTTCCGCTGTTCAAGTCCTATAATTGCTGTGTTGAGAATACCGACTAATTTGTCAATCGAAATGTTTTCGTTTTCAATAACCTCTGGGTCACTTTTTCTTCACTATCGGAAGCGAATTATAATGACCAGGAACTTGATTTTAAATCATATCAAAGACAGAATGAAATACTACACTTAGTACGGAATTATAAACCAAATAAAATAAAACATCTGCCCTGAAGATAAGGATAGTGCTGACAGATCAACTTCCAATCCGCTGCGTGAAATTGATAAACAGATTTCGGATTCTCAAAACATACTTTCGCTTTGTAGATACAAATTACATATTAGTAAATATATATCGGAAATTCTATTTGACATAATCTTTCTAATCTATCATAATCTAATAATGACGTTTCTTTTCTGCCCCCCCCCTCTGCCGCAGAGCAGTGTGAAATTGATAAACAGATTTCGGATTTCAAAACATACTTTCGCTTTGTAGTAAATATATATCGGAAATTCTATTTGACATAATCGAAAGTTCAAGCTTACTTTTATAAAAATTGCTCTAACAGTCTGCAAAAAATAATAAGCCGGATCCAATTCGAAGATTAAGGAACAACGCAATCGGCAACATTAACTGAATTAGATAACTTTAGCGTATAACTCCGTTACAATTTAAACGCGCATGCGCACAAACATATTCGCAGCCCTAAGGGTCTTACGCGCTCTCGTAAACGCCTGTGCGCATGCGTGAACGCGACGCATGCGCAGAAAGTTTGTAGCTTTGAGGTCTGGATTATAGATCATTCCGGATTATGGGTGTCCAAATTAACGACTTTTGACTGTATATGCTGTTAACCCTACAAACAGCTGGGCCATATTTATAAAAGATTTATTCCCATTTTGCATATATGAGTTTGCTGTTTAAATTTATTCATATATGTTCTAAAAAAAGTAAGGTAAAGCAATGTAATAAATGCCATACAAATATAGAATATCACCATTAGATCTGAAAGAATTGTTACTCAGCAAGTTAAAGTAAATATAATTTTAAATTTGTTTAAAATATCTGATTAAATTTTTACAGTTGTAGTATTAGCTAGAGGCTGATACTAGAAGAGTTGTTCTGACATCAGTTTTATTATCTCATTCTGCTTGGTCAGGTATTGTATTGCATCTAAATTATATTTGCTATATTTGTAATTAAATTCTGAAGATTGGCTGTGATATCCTTAAATTAAGTCAGCTAAGCAATATCCATGCCGATGAATATACAGTGGTGGCCAAAATTATGGACACTTTTGGAAATTTTTATGTTTTTGAACTTTGTATGCTTATAGAAAAATGTTATTTTTCGCAAAATGCAACTTGTATAATCATTTTAAAGAAATTTATTACTGAATACAATACAAAACACAAAATTCAATTATTTGCAATACAAAAGTTATATGTACTTGTACTTTAATATAAATAGAAAACACAGTTATGAAGTGGTTTTGTAATGTCTAGCTTTTCCTGGCCAATCACTGTTCTTGTTCTGAGAACCAATCAAATGTTAGTAACTGCCAGTAGAAGCTGACACAAGCGTCTAGATCCCAAACCTCACTTTTGCTCATAACCGGTTTTTTTCCTTTAACTCTGGGATATGAGGAAAGGGAAAAGGAATTTTGAGTATAGGGAATTTTATATAACGTTGTTTATACTCGCGTTCCTGTGAAATCACTGTTACAGAAAAATGTATTAACGTATCTTTCTGAAATAATAAAACGACCTTTACAGGGACAAGTAATTTCGCATCGGAAAATTCAGCCGATACCCTTGGAAACAATTGAAAGGTCTTTTTCTCAGAGACAAATATTCCTGACACGCAAAATCAACTGTTGACTCTTCTATGAATTACGGAAAAAAGATAGCTGCATGCTCAGAGTTGGCGAATTTATTACCTAGGATAAAATTCCATCCACTGCTAAAAATTGAGCTAAGCTCTGTTCCATCTATTTGGATCTATTAGTAAACTTGCTATGTATAGTTAAACTTCCAACATGAAAACTGAAACTTTCCGGACGGAATTAATGCAGGTAGTGCAACACAAGAGTACCTGATCCATCAAAAAAGTATTTTTTCTGAATGTATATCCTAGAAACAGATCTGTAAGTGACTAAATGACTAGTGTAAAAAAGTTCCAGAGAAATATAAATAAATAAAATAAACCCTGAGCCAAAGTATCCGCCAAACATGCACCCCAAAAATAAGCATATGGTTGAGCTGGTAGTCCTGCATTTAAAAAAAAAAAAAGGTTCTCATAAATACTAGTTATTTACAAAGATTGCCTGTGTGGTATCCATGAGAGAAGATTTTCTGCATATTACAATAGTTTCCAACATATATTCCTCTATATACAAAAATGAAAACTATACACCACTTTATACAAATTTTTTTTTTATTCAAGATCATAAATCAATCTATTTATATCAGCTATATGAAATGTTTTTTATTTAAACTATAGCAATTAAATTATGAATTATAGTAAATTAATAAAGATAAAATAAATTTTAAACTGAAAAAGACATGGCAAGTGTTCATACTACAGAATTACATCATTTAAAGTGCAGGAAAGAATGCAATTTAAAAGTTCTAGTTGAATGCGTTGCCAAATACATTTTGTGGATATTATAGGTTGCCTATTTTGGCAATATAGCACAGTAGCTGGTGAATTCTTTCGCAAGTCGGATGGAAAAAGGCTCCAAACAGCCCAAAATTGTATATTACGTCAAATTTCAAACTCACCTTGGTACATTCGTAATAAATAACCGTATCAATTTTGAGCTCAAAATGGACCAGCTTAATAGTATATATTGTAAATTAGCAAGGAATTTTTTTTTGAAAGCCAAAAAAAAAAAAAAAAAAAAAAAAAAAAAAAAAAAAAAAAAAAATATTCAAAACCCTACCATTAAAATATGTAATTATGACATTAATGATCCTGCTAACTGCAAACGCCCTATGGCCATACTTAATGTAAATATTAATTGATGTTTTCTTACTGTTACCACCTGATTATTATATTCAGCACTTGTGTTATATATTGTAACTATGCTTATTGTATAATGTATATGTACTTCTCTCATATATGCACATATTTTGTATCTTGTTTGACAGGACCAGAGTCAATTTAATATTTCAAATTGCTCAAACGTATCCATTATTTTTACCTGCCTTTTTATTATTCTTTCCCCTTTTAAATTTTTCACTGAAGGAGTTACACCTACTTCTTGTTTATTCTTCCGATTGCTGTATATCTCCCTTTCAGGATATTTGTCAACGGCTCGAAAAGCTTGCAACCAGATGCTTTCCCCATTAGCTGACTCTCTTTCACTACACATTTTAAATTCTTATCTCATATTAACAAATTAATGTTAATATCTTGCTTAACTTTATTACCTTTTATTATAATTTAACGACTTACCTTAAAGTTATTTGTGACAGAATTTACTTTGTGACTTGTTACTTATATCTGTTCATATAGCTCAATTTCTTTTTTCATTTATTTAGAAATTTTCTTTGTGTTAATGCTCACATAATTAGTAACTTTTTAATTTTGTTTGATATCGGTAGGGAGTTCAGCCCAGGTAGCCAGGTGTATACACCTTTACCCTTTCCCCTGTGAAACAGGGGATTGCCCATGATGAATTCTTTTTATGGTTGGGTAGATAATCAGATATTTCTTAGTACCAATTTCTTTTTTATTAATAGTTTATCAATGTGTCAATGATTAAAATGCTGATGTTAGGAAAAACTGTTTTTCCCTTTATTCTTACATATCGAAAACTGCCACCAAAAATATTAGATGTGACATTTTACCCGTTTTGTGTAACAATTTGTTCTTCATTCCGTCAGGCTTGTGTTTTCCTTCTAGTGCATTATGCAATGCTCCCACAGATTTGCATATGTTATGTAAGTGTTTCAATATTTGTATTTTCTTTTAGTAAAGCATACTATCCCATCATAACTTACTAAGATGCTGTGTAGTTTATTCAGATGTTTATCCTATACCAATGTATTATTTATCTACACTATGTTCATGTACTGAATTTAGTGATACCTTTCCTTTCTATACGTAAGATTGTAGGGATTTATATTTATTTTAACTAATAATTTAAAAGGTACTATTCCGTTTTGAAGACCATAAAAGAATTGCAGCAAAAATGTATGCGCCAAATCTAGCAAACGCGCCCATTTAACAGCGCGCCAAATCTAGCGTACACGCTGATTTCAGATTGTGTTAGTTTATATAGTTCTATATTTCTTAAGATGCCACTGACATACTAGTTTAATTTTTAAATTCTTTTTGTGATTTTAAATTAATTTTTTTATATCCTATGGATTTAACAACTTGGGAATTGCCCATGATGAAAAGTGTGCAATAGAATTTTGGTTAAAGTGCGGAATCACCTACTGCTTGACGAGCTTTTAAGAATTGCACATATTTGGTATCCATGTACACATCGACCTATTTTCACTATAAAAAAAAAATCCCAGAATTGCACAAAAATGGCACTGCGCACATCGTTGACTTTTTCTA